ATTGATTGCAAACAAGATTTGTTAATTTGCACACACAAAAAAGTATTTTTCCTAAAAAATTAATTCAAGAACATGTTGCAAAAATGAATACACCCTAATAAAAGTCTTAGGAGCAAAGCTATATTTTAGACAAAATCCTAACTAGAAAAGCTACAATTTCTGGGGAAATTGTGTGAAGTGTTCTTGCCTCCACCAGTAGTCTACAACTGGAGTGGGCGGAGTAACTGGGTGGAGTGGCTTGAGCTGGGCGGCGTGAGTTGCAAACAAATGGTCATATTGTGAAAACTATCAGGGCTATGGTTTAGCCGTGGACATTTTTAGTGGCAGCAGGGATAGCTGAGCATTTTGATATAAGATTTGTGTAGGTGGGCTTGAAAATGAGGGAGTTGTGGCAGTTTAGAAATTATGTCCTGATTTTTCAGCTCGCACTCTAGCTTTTGTCAGTTCCCACTCTAGTTTTGAACATTCCACCATTCATTCCTATGGGACCAATTTCACCACAAAAACGCCGATATTTCGTGAACCATTCCGAGAAACGTTCCACAAAGTAATAGCACACCAATCGGGAACAATCTGCGCGTTTCGGTATATTACCGTCTATGTAGTGTAAAAACTGTGGGAGGAGTTTAGGGTGGTAAATTTGGCTATAATAATAAGAATATGTGAGATAACAGTAAGTGGTCTTGCCATGCAAGAACACTTAATTAACAAGACTTTAACTACAGGTGAGTCTAATTATTGGTTAAACAGGTGTCCAGCAGACAGTTTATTATAAAAGGGCATTACTTAACCCCTTGACGCCGACGTAACACAAATATGCGGCCTCACGGACCTGGGCTTTTTTCCGTGGGGCCGCATATTTGCGTACCTGTCCTTTGTGTTGGGAGCGCGCCCCTCAGCGCGCTCCCAGCACCGAGACCGCGGTGTCACTGAGAGCACCGGTCCCGTTCTAACGATCGGGACCCGGGACAATCGGTTCCGGGTCACATGATCGCTGTGATAGCCTCTGATTGGCTATCACAGTGATCAGTCACTGTGCAGCCCGGCCTTGTTTTTTTCTCTCTCTCTCTCTATGAATGGAGAAGAGAGATACATTGTATCTCTCGAACTCCTGTCAGAGAGAAGGAAAAAAAAAAGTTTGTAAAAAAAAAAAAAAAAAAGAGATAAATAAATAAATATTAAAAAAATAAAAGAAAAAATAAAAAAAAAATACCTAGATCAAGGTTTGATCTAGTTCAGTGCCAGGGTTAGTGTTTAGGTCAGGGTCAAGGTCAAAGGTCAGGGTCAAGGTCAAAGGTCAGGGTCAAAAGTCAAGGTCAGGATTTAAAAAAAAATTGGTATCAGTGTCAGTTAATCTTAATGTCAGTGTCAGTTAGTGTCAGTGTGTTTTAGGTAAAAAAAAAAAAAAAAAAAAGACAAAAACAAAATGCGCACTATGGTTTCTGGGCTGTACTAAGGGTACAAACAACAAATAACATACACATATATGGTATCGCTGCGATCGTCAAGAGCTGGAGAATTTGTTTTGGGTTTCTCTTTGGTGGTAGGTTATGGTCATAACAAGAAACACATAGCTAAATTAAAATAAAAGGATTTTTTTTACTATTTTTGGCCAGTTTTCCTTTGATAATAAAAAAAAAAATCAGGAGATATCCATTACCATTTACCACCAAATGAAAGCCCAATTTGTCCTGAAAAAATCAAGGTATAATCCACCTGGATGTGCAAAGTAGTTGTGATGATATGTACGGTTTTGCTATCACATGTCAACGGTGCAGAATTGTGCTTAGGCATTTAGATTTGTTTTACCCTTAGGCGTGAAGGGGTTAACAAAGAAAACCCCTTCCCATTTCATGCTGTCAGCAATAGCTCCACATGGAAAAGAAATGTCACAAGGCCTGACAAAGAAAATAATTTCTGTACACAAGAAAGGTGAAGGTTACAAGGAGATCAGCAAAGGTTTACTTATCAGTCAGAATACTGTAGCAAAAGTGATACAAAAATTTAACAAAGATGGAACTGAAACCACTCGCAGAGATGTCCAGGCCATCCACGGAAGTTAACACCTCTACGGGAGCGTCTTCTGATGAGAAGGGTTGAAGAAAATCGCCATGCAAGTTCACTGCAGTTAGCTAAAGAAGTAGAAAGCCAAACTGGGGTGATTGTTTCCCGTGACACAATACGGCGTACACTTCAGAGGAATGGCATGCACGGGTGTTGTCCATGAAGGAAGCCTCTCCTAAAGCCCGTGCACAAAAAAGCCCGCCTAGAATTTGCCAGGGCCCATGCTGAAAAGGAGGAGACTGCTGGGACTCTGTACTCTGGAATGATGAGACCAAGATAAATGTTTTTGGAACTGATGGCTTCAAAATGGTATGGTGTCACAAAGATGAGGAGTGCAAACAAAAATGCATGGTGCTTACAGTGAAACATGGTAGTGGCAGTGTCCTTCTGCGGGGCTCCATGAGTGTTGCTGGTGTCGGGGAGCTGCATTTCATTGATGGTATCATGAATTCACAGATGTACTGCTCTGTATTGAAAGAGCAGGTGCTACCATCACTCCGTGCTCTTTTCCAACAAGACAATGATCCAAAACACATCTAAGGCCACTGTTGCATTTCTAAGGAAGAACAGGATGAAAGTGTTCGAGTGGCCAATTATATCTCCTGATCCAAACCCAATGGAATACCTATGGGAAATTCTGAAGGGACACGTTGAGCATCTCTCTCCATCCAGCATCCAGGCTGTAAAAGATGTTATTCTTGAACAATGGAAAAAGATAGATGGTGAAATATGTTGCCAACTTGTTCAATCCATGACTTAGAAGACTTGGCGCTGTCCTATTAGATGTAGTAGTTTTTGTTGTGGGTTGTATCCATTTTTGCATCAACTAATTTGAGTAAAATACATTTTTATTAATTATAGTCTCTTTGATTCCTACCCTGTATGTAGATTTCAGCATGACACCATTGAGTTCTAAGAACAAGCAATTTACAGCAGAAGGAACAATCAGAAAAGGAGTTTCACCTGCTTGGCTCCTTGTGAAAATATAAAAATATTCATACTCATTAGGAGTGGATGCACATATAAATATCTGTAGAACATCAATTGTAAAACATGATAGGATTGATAATGGATACGAACATACAGAAATCAAGACCAAATACTTACAAAACTGCTAAAATGACATGTACATGGTCATGTTTCCAGTGGTGACCGCCTAGATGTTTGACCCAGGAGCTGTGGGTATGGGATCCTCGAGGATCCAAGGGGGACAAACAAAAAATGTGTGCAGCACAAGTAAGATGAAAGTGTGCCCTGTCCATCATATCCAAGAAATATATGCCTGGTTGGGACATGTGACTCAGTCCAAATAATACTTCAGAGCAAGGGTAAAATAGTGAGTATCAAAGATAAGAAGATAGTTATCTGGCAAAGTAGAAGTAAAAGAGAAACGCCAGTGTCTTAAGGAATCCATGCCAGAGAAGAAAGAAGAAATAGATTAGAAACAGATGCATAGATGGTAATGATGACATAGATGGTAATGAGAACAGAAACCAAATCAACAATCCATAGAGCTTTAACAGAGTGGCTACTAAGTGTCAGGAACTCACCATGATTAACACGCATAAACTAACATGCTGCACCTCTCTCCACCATTACGAAATTAATCAGAAACGTAATTCTCTGATCCTTCTATTTATATCCTAGGGGCCACCCTTAATTCCACCCAACACCACGTAGAGACAATTAAGGGAGGAGGAATATACACAAATCAACGGCGCCACATGGGCAGAACGGCACCAGAAGGTGTGGATTCCTCCAACCTGATGCAGAGTGTCATCGCACATACAGGTGTGATGACGCCACTTGCACGTTGGCGCCACACATTGGAAGGCACACATGGCGCCGATGCTGCATAGGGCCTGCTCATCAAACCCAGACAGGCCCTCAAATGAAGGTGGAAATTAACCCCCAGATGCACTGCAGCTCCTAAGACCAGAAGTCATACCAGAGGAAGGGACATGGCACAAGGATTCAGGAGATCCATATACTGAAAAGGGTAACATACACAATACATTGAATCCTAAGCTCAAACATCTTACTACATAAAAAATATAAAGTCGCAGGGCACAATTATGTGGTCTTAGGTATGTGTGCTGATTTGATATGGGGGGGGGGGGGGGGGGGGGGGTTTGCAGGTACCTAGTTTTGACAGTTTTTGACAAGTTCTCCTTTCTCAACACCCCCCCAACAAAGGGCGACGTGGCTTGTGTATGCACAGTTTGCAGCAGACTGTGACAGTTAGGATGACAGTGCTAGGTACCCAAAGGCTAGTGAAGAACTAGCCCTGGTGTGGATGGTGCTGGACCCCTGGACAGATAAGTGTTCTTTTTTGCTAAAAGTCAACAGCTACAGTATTTGTAGCTGCTGACTTATCCCCCCCCCCCCCCCCCCCCCCCCCCAGAGTGCACAACCGCTTTAATAGACTTGTGTTTTTGGCATTGCTTCATGGACCTGTGACTGAGCAGCTGCAAGCCAGGAAACGCTGTGGTGTTGGTGTGTTTCTAAAGGTGGATGCAGGCTAGATGCCCTGGCAGAAGCAGGTTTCTATTGTCCATAAAAAAGGCAGCTTACTAAAAACTGCACAAACCTGTCCAGCACAAAAGAAAAACATCCTCATGAGACTATTGAGGCTTTTCAGAAGATTGTGCAGCCATCCTTTAACCAACTTTTTGTTGAAAAGGGTAGGGGGAGGCGAGACACAAGACCTATTTGTGTATTTGTATTCTGTGTATTAGAGAAACATTTATTCTGTTATATTTATCAAGCAGAAGCATCATTTAGTAATTTGTCCATAAATAAGGCAACCATATCAGACTTTTGGTTCATGAGCTTTAAGGAAGTGATCAGCAGCTTTGTTGTTCAGTAAGTACTTCTGTAGACTTTGCAGATTATTTTACTAATCAAAACCTGTTCAATTTTCTATGCAGCTCAGCATGCCATTTACCACATTGGCAGCTACGTTGCCCACTCCTTTAGAACCGGTTATTCCAGCTCTTGCCCCAGTTCTGCCAGCTCTAACTCCTGCCATACCAGCTCTCTCTGATCTGCCACAGCCACCATTAATGGGAAATGTAGACCCCACAAAAGTGGATGAAATCAGAAGAACGATCTATGTCGGAAATTTAAACTCACAGGTATTCTTGTTTTAATGTAAGTCTTGTTTGCACAGCTTTCGTGTCTGGCTGTCTTTACATCTTGTGTATTTGTTGTGTACTCTTCCTTTTTTTCTTGTATCTGATTTTTCTGTTTGTTTTGCCTTGTCAATTGTTTTGTTGGCTGACATCTGTGATTTGTACACACATTTAGTCAATCCTATGTGCACAGATCAGTTCTGCTGTCAATATTGTACAGTGTAGCTCTCAGAAGCGAAGTAGTGCATGTTTTTACATTTAGTCCTGCACAAATGTCTGCTGACTCAAAGCAAATTTAGTGTCTATGCATATAAATCTCTAAAATGAACCAAAAAGGTTAATTAGAACTTTTTCAAAGCTTAAAGTAATTGTAAAGGCTCATATATTTTATTTTTTTTTTTAAATAACAAAAATACTTGCGTGCTCTGTGAATGGTTGTGCAATGATCAAATCTTGATCCTTCTCTTCTTGGGTCCCCTGCTGGCGCTCTTGACCTCTACCCCTTGCAAAGTGCCTCAATAGCAAGCTGCTTGCTCTGCAGCCACTTTGAGTGTCCCTTCTCTATCTGTGATTGCCAGCAGTGGAAGCCAATGGTTCCTGCTGCTGTGTCTCAGCCAATAAAGAGAGGGAGGCCTGGAAGAGTCTCAGCTCTCCCGCACATCTGTGTTGAGATGGGGGTGGGGTTGCTAGCAGAAGGTGTGTTGTTTTTTTTTTTTTTTGTTTTGTTTTTTAAAGTAAAAAAGCTAATTAAAGCTTTTCATTCACTTTAAGAAAACTATAAATTTAGGTAACACAAAATAGAAATACATGAGGTTGCTGGCATTGAGTTGCTTTCTGTCTGTTAATTGTAGAAACTTGTGGATTGTCAAGGCAACACTGGGATGTTGAAGTCCTAATGTTAGCCATACATGGCTTGAATTTTGGCCTGTACAGGAACTACTCTGGGCAGGAAAATATTCAGCCTAACAGTGACTGCATTGTGTTCTGTAAGACGCAGTCGCCCTTTAGGTTTTCCAGAAAGCTGCAGGTGCTGCGATTGTCTGAATACAATGTTTGTTAGTGCAGATTCCACCATCTATACTGTTTAACCACTTGTGCTCCAGAAGATTTACCCCCTTTCCTGACCAGGCCATTTTTTGCACTACGGCGCTGCATTACTTTAACTGAAAATTGCGCAGTCATGCAATGCTGCACCCAAATGAAATTTACTAAAAAAAAGCACTGACACTGTACTAATGGCACTGGGCAGGCAGGGGTTAACATGAAGGGCGATCAAAGGGTTAACTGTGTGCTGTTTTACTATAAGCTGTGCCCGTGTGCTTCACTGTAAGCACACTGCTTTGCATGACTGCTGTACACAGCCATTCAGAGCAGTGTGCATGGCTGATAGGGAGAACTTTTGCTTATACAAATCTCCTCCCCATCGGAGATGCTCAGCAATCACCGGGTTGATTGGGCACGCACGTGCCTCGTGTACTAAAATGCAAAATCGTCCTCCCCATCGGTGTGATGCTCAGCAATGTACCGGGTGCTGGTGATTGGCAGCGCGTGTGTGTGTGTGTGTGTGGTGTGCCTCGTGTGCGTTATATACCCGGATAATATGCAAAATATATATGTGTGTGTGTGTGTATATATGTATATGTATATGTATATATATATATATATATATATATATATATATATATGTGTGTGTGTGTGTATATATATATATATATATATATATATATATATATATATATATATATATATATATATATATATACTGGTGAAACTCAAAAAATTTGAATATCGTGCAAAAGTTCATTTATTTCAGTAATGCAACTTAAAAGGTGAAACTAATATATGAGATAGACTCATTACATGCAAAGCAAGATAGGTCAAGCCATGATTTGTCATAATTGTGATGATTATGGCTTACAGCTCATGAAAACCCCAAATCCACAATCTCAGAAAATTAAAATATTGTGAAAAGGTGCAATATTCTAGGCTCAAAGTGTCCCACTCTAATCAGCTAATTAAGCCATAACACCTGCAAAGGGTTCCTGAGCCTTTAAATGGTCTCTCAGTCTGGTTCAGTAGGAAAGACTGCTGACCTGACAGTTGTGCAGAAAACCATCATTGACACCCTCCATAAGGAAGGAAAGCCTCAATAGGTAATTGCAAAAGAAGTTGGATGTTCCCAAAGTGCTGTATCAAAGCACATTAATAAAAAGTTATGTAGAAGGGAAAAGTGTGAAAGAAAAAGGTGCACAAGCAGCAGGGATGGACCGCAGCCTGGAGAGGATTGTCAGGAAAAGGCCATTCAAAAGTGTTGGGGACTTTCACAAGGAGTGGACTGAGGCTGGAGTCAGTGCATCAAGAGCCACCACACACAGACAGATCCTGGACATGGGCTTCAAATGTTGTATTCCTCTTGTCAAGCCGCTCCTGAACAACAAACGTCAGAAGTGTCTTACCTGGGCTAAAGAAAAACAGACCTGGTCTGTTGCTCAGTGGTCCAAAGAGCAACTTTTGCATGTCATTTGGAAACCAAGGACCAAGAGTATGGAGGAAGAATGGAGAGGCACACACTGCAAGATGCTTGAAGTCCAGTGTGAAGTTTCCACAGTCTGTGTTGATTTGGGGAGCCATGTCATCTGCTGGTGTTGGTCCACTGTGCTTCATTAAGTCCAGGATCAATGCAGCCGTCTACCAGGAGATTTTGGAGCACTTCATGTTTACTTCCGCAGACGAGCTTTATGGGGATGCTGACTTCATTTTCAGCAGGACTTGGCACCTGCCCACACTGCCAAAAGCACCAAAACCTGGTTCAATGACTGTGGGATTACTGTGCTTGCTTGGCCAGCAAACTCACCTGATCTGAACCCCATAGAGAATCTATGGGGCATTACCAAAAGAAAGATGAGAGACATGAGACCGAACAATGCAGAAGAGCTGAAGGCCGCTATTGAAGCATCCTGGTCTTCCATAACACCTCAGCAGCGCCAGAGGCTGATAGCTTCCATGCCACGCCTCATTGAGCCAGTAATTGCTGCAAAAGGGGCCCAAACCAAGTACTGAGTACATATGCATGCTTATACTTTTCAGAGGTCCGATATTGTTCTATGTACAATCCTTGTTTTACTGATTGCATGTAATCTAATTTTCTGAGATTGTGAATTTGGGGTTTTCATGAGCTGTAAGCCATAATCATCACAATTATGACAAATCACGGCTTGAACTATCTTGCTATGCATGTAATGAGTCTATCTCATATATTAGTTTCACCTTTTAAGTTGCATTAGTGAAATAAATGAACTTTTGCACGATATTCTAATTTTTCGAGTTTCACCTGTATATATGTGATTTTGTACACCCGTGCCGCCCTGTAGTAGTATTTCTGCTACATGGTGGTTGGGAAGCGGTTAATGTGGATGGAGAAATCAAATAATTTCCTTCAATCTATATGTTTATGGCTAACTGAAAGTGACACTAAACTCACTTTTTTTTTCTTTTTTTTCTTAAAAATAAGCATTGTGTCAAATTTTAAGTTGAAAGTGCCTTCTATATCTTTAACTTTGTTTCAGCTCTCCAATTCAAGCTTTTTTTTTTTCTGCTAATCTCAGACTTCCTTTTCTAGGATGGGTGCATTCATTCTCCATGCCATCTTTGTGCAGACACATTGAGCTCTATAGGGATTGTATTACACATAGAGCAGAACATATGACCAGAAATAGTAGCACTGCTTGCTCTACATTAGTAGTAGTGGGATGCATCAACTTGGCGGAATAAATGTAGAGAACGGCCGTAATGTGGTTTTCATGCCCCTGTATATAAATACAATGCTTCACTACATTATGTATAATTTGTGATTTCTTATAGGCGGAGGTGATGTGCACTTTAAATTGCATGCAAATATTCTTAAAAAGTTCTTAAATTTTTTTTTTGAATTTTCTTTTTTTTATCATATACTGATCTTGCAGACTACAACAGCTGAGCAACTTCTGGAATTCTTTAAGCAAGTTGGGGATGTCCGCTTTGTCCGTATGGCTGGTGATGAGACTCAGCCGACGCGATTTGCTTTTGTAGAGTTTTCTGACCAGAATTCAGTGACACGAGCGCTCACCTTCAATGGAGTTATGTTTGGGGACAGACCTCTTAAGTAAGTGGCTTTGCTTTGTGTTCACGTTTTTTTTTCCCCTCATAGTCTGGTTTCAAAACATTTTTCTAAAATGAGTGTACTATATTGTGTGGAAAATGCTGAAATTAGCAAAATGGATACAAGCAATATTCTCTGCAGGGCGCACGCTCTTAACACATATGGTTTTTTCTTACCTGAACGCAAATGTGCGGCCGCTCAGTGTCTAAGCCCAGACGCCGGGAGGCCGCACATTCGTGTGCGGCGGCGGCGTGAAGGGGTTAAAGTTGTCTCTCACTGCAGAATTTCTATTTTCATGCTATCATTTCTCCACCCCTCCCCCCAATTCCATCTGTGGTGTTTTTTTTTTGAAAGCTATTTATGGGTCATGACTTGGATATGGACAGCTGCTTGGGGCCAGAGACGTACTACACACAAGCAATGTTCACACTTTTGTACAGATACACATGACTATTTACTTTACACACACACATTTTGGACTTACGAAATTCTTTTACTGTAAACTGCTCATAAGGGATGTGTCTTGGTAGTCCTTGCTGACCACATCTAAGAAATGGTAGCTGCTTCAGGTGTCATGGTGAACTTCTGACACAGCTAATTGGTGACTTGAAGAAAGGCTTTTGTTCACCTGAGAACTGTTCTGTTCCAATACAAATCAGTGGTAAAAAGCATGCTGCATTTGCCCATCAAAGCCCAATGACACAGGCCCATGTACAAGCTTGTTCGTTTTGTTGAATCAGAGTATTGTAGCCAGAGAGAACCAGGCTAGAAGCATTTTCAGAAGGTTGACAATTCCAGCCTACTTCTCAGGACAGATTTCCTTTATCCTTGAACACCAAGCTGACCGCTAAAATAAACTATTAAAAATGATTTTAATTCTTTTACCTGTCAAAAGATTTGTATTTTTGTTCAACCAGTCTGGCCCATAGCCAGAACAGGAAGTGAGAGGAAATTTCTGTAAAGTGAGGGAATCCCTGCATGTCACCAGGGTCATTAGAACTAGGGTTCCCTTTGAAAGATAAGGCCAGTTGCACATGGGAGTAAAAAAAAAAATGCTGAGTTTACTGATGTGAAATGAGATGCATTGTTGTCTATGGGACATTATACACAGCTGTGTAAAGATCAGTAATAAAGCGTTGAGTACAGAGCAGCAGTAAAATAAAAATAGAACATTTTTCATTTGAGTGCAGTAATTGCGTGCTTACTCATTTAGGCCCCTTGCACACAAGCATCATAATTTACTGATGTTTACTCAGGAGCTTGTGACGCCCATGTGCAAGGGGCCACAATACTGGCGATGAACAAGAATTCTTCTATACGCTTACACAACTTTACTCGCCTATACTCAACATTACTCAGGTCTTTACACACAGTTTTTGACCCCTTGCACACGGGCATCACAAGTTTCTGAGTAAATATCAGTAAATTATGACGTCCCGAGGCCTTACTGTTCTGGGGACAACCTCAAATTTGGGATTTTCTTTTACTTTTGCTTGTAGGTAAATGTGACAGAGAGGGTAAAGCTTCTTAACAAAAGCACATACTGCAGTAAAAACTGACAGATGTTCTAATCCATCCTGACTCTATCCAAAACAAAGAAAGGAATGTCTTTAGCTATGCTTTAAGCACGCTTTCCCCTTCCCTGCAGACAATAGCTCAATATTGCAGGATGTTTTCTTGTGAAATATGGATTTCTACAGTAGACACGTGTGCATGTTCTGTCTGGAGAAGAAAGAAAATGCATTTTTTTTATTAAAGTATATATGTAAATGAAAGGCAAAACAATTGTGTATACATATAAAAAAAAAAAATATTTATTTTAATTTATTACAGGTATGTATATAGCACCATCAGTTTACGCTCCCTTTACATAATTTTGTACATTCACTTCAGTCCCTAACCCTCAAGATGCTTACAATTTAAGGTCCCTAACTCACATTCATACATGCTCGGGAAAATTTAGACAGGGTCCAGTTAACTTATTAACATGTCTTTGGAGTGTGGAGGAAACAGGAGTACCCAGAGGAAACCCACACATGCACAGGGAGATCATGCATAACTTTTTTTTTTTTTTTTTTTATAAGTGAGCACATCACCTTTTTTCTCAGCTGCATAAGGAGCTTAGGGAGGAGAAACTGATCTTCCCAGTGAGTGACTTTGCAGAGGGGGCTTGTCAGGACAAGCTTGATCAGTGCAGAACAGGCTGAGATCCAGCACAGCCACACTGTGCTCTTATGACTAGTGTGGTCAGTTTTGGAAAGGAGAGGTATTTCACACAAAGAAAGCAGGGAACAGGATACTTTTTTTTTATACAAGTACATGGTACAGCAGGAGCATGAAATGGTGGGTTTACATATTCTAAATGGTGGCCTATGGCTGTCTGGAGCACAACTTTAAACAATTTACTTGTTTTTAGTATAGCAGAGTGTATGTATGTGCATATCTGCAGCACCTTGTAAATTAAGAGTTAAAAACTCATGTCAAAATACCATTTCGGACCCCTTAAGATCCTTCATCAGATATAACAAACTTGAAAATCAAATTACGTTCATTATGTAGCATGTTCTTTCTTTTACAAAGGCCTTTTATTGTTCTCATTCAGTTGCACAAAGTCATGAGTTAGATAATTATAACATAGATCAAATAGGTGTGCAATGCATAAAAAAGGAAAATACACAGGTAACCTGGGTTTAAACAGAGCTAGTAGTCACATTGTATAAAAACAGAGGTTTAAAACCGTATATAATTGTGCCTGTAACTCAGCTAGACAGAAATTCAAATAAACAGAAAAGCATGTAAAAAAAATATAATATGTTATGTAAAATAAAGCACTGAGTTTTCAACCTTCTGAGCTTGGCAGATGTCAGGGGACTGATTAATATGACAGGAGTAAAAAAAATGGAAATATAAAAATAGCGGAGCAGAAAAAGTTAGAATAGAAAAGCAGAGAGAGGGGTGTCCCAGGGGTCCATGGTACAGGGTCACTGGAGTGACAGCAGGGAATTGTCAAACCGAGATGGCTGAGCTTGTGCAATCCAAGGTTTGCAAACCCGGAGGAACTTTTCATGAGTATCCAATAGCATGGCTGTCAGTTTGACTGGACTGATAGAATAATTTGTTGCCAGGTTCGCCTCAACCGAATGGTTTGCTGTCTCCCTGGTGCCCAGGTATGGTATGTAGTGGACCGGGTTAATAAATTACTGGGTGGGGCTGGGCATGATCTCCAAGGTGATATTCTCTGAAATATTACCTGTGCCATGCACAACAAAGGAAATACGGGGAAATTAGAGAACTTAATGCATGGCTAAAGAACTGGTGTAAGGGTACGATTTGGGTTTCTAGAGCACTGGGCTGACTTTTCATGCAAAAAGACTGTATGTGAACACACTGCAAAAAATATTCCCATGGGCAACAAGTTTAAAAGGTTAAAAATAAAACCTATGTGGCTTACGGCCAAAGTTAAAAAAAGCTATAAGTAATAAGAATTGAGCGTTTATAAAATATTACAATGAAGGAACACTATCATCGTTTAAACTTTACAAAGAATATAACAGAATATGTAAAAAGAAAGCGAAGGCCGCAAAAATTGAAAACTAACGACAGATTGCAAAAGATAGCAGGGCAAACCCCCAAAAGATTTTTTAGATATATTAATAGTAAAAAGGTCAGGTCTGAGCATGTAGGCCCTTTACAAAATGATGTAGAGTGGGTGACTGGAGACATCGAGAAGGCAATTTTATTAAATACCGTCTTCAGCTCTGTGTATACAAATGAGCATGGGGGGCTCTTGTCCATAATGGGCATGATATTGATACAGGCCCAGATGATCCACATTGGCTTGCAATTGATATGATCGAAAAATATTTAGGCTTCATGTGCACGAGCCTACTCTGACCGCCGGCCACTGGGAAATGCAAATAGCGGCAAAAAACGAGTTGCTGTGGTTGCTGCGTTTTTTACCGCATTCTGCAGTTTCCCGCAGCCAGAGGTCAACATGTTTCTAACCTGAGCTCAATTCTTTCGTGTTCAAGAGAGGGAGGTTTAACCTCACCTAAATGCGGCAGCTCTTAAACTCTGCTAAAAGCCTATGTGTACATGGACAAATGCCAAAAGCTCCTAAACTCAAGTTTAGCAGCTGCTCGTGTACATGAAGCTTTAGACAGAATAAAGGTGAATAAAGTACCTGGACTGGATGGCATACACCCACGGGTCCTTAAAGTGTTACTAAACCCAGGTCCCTGCATTCACTATATCTGGTCTCCCACAGTACGCAGAACATGGAAGTGCAGTTATTTTAGTAAATATAAACTGCTAAATACCTTTTCTCATCAGCAGTTAGAGCAGTCTTGTTACTTCAGCAGAGCACTGGTTAAAGCTCGTAGAAGGAGTTTTTTCTTCCTGCTCTAGGAGGATGTAAAACCCCTCAGCCTCTGTCTGGACAGTGCTGATTGGCCCTGTGCTGATCACATGCACTCGCCCAGGAAAAAAAAACAAAAACCTAGCAATACACTGTATAGACACCCCTCCACCACCCCCCGGGTAGGGGTGCGCTTCCTACCCGCCCCACCATTCGCAGCCGCAGCTATCAATCAGTGGGTCCTGGCCGGTAATTACTTGCCAGCACCCGGTGATTTCCAGAGATCTCCGACAGGGATGTCGACTGTTTTGTTTACCAGCAGTCCTCCTCCCTGTCAGCGCGAGCACACTTCTCTGGATGGCTGTACACAGCCATCCAGAGCAGTATGATTACAGTGAAGCACACTGACATGGCCCCCTAGTAAAACACTCCCTGCACACAGTGAACCCTTTGATCACACCTCATGTTGACCCCTTCCTGCCCAGTGCCATTAGTACAGCGTAAGTGGTTTTTTTTTTTTTTTGTTCTTTGCACTGATAACTGTATTGGTGTCACTGGGGATATCAGTGACACCAAGTCTATTCCCCCCAGTGTCAGAATGTCCACCACAGTCCTGCTGTAAGTCGCTGATGGCCGCCATTACTAG